TTTCCTTCAATGGAACAATGGAGCTTCAAGTTGTGCAGGGGCATCAAACAGCTGGCTATGTGGAGATGTTGCAGCGGGCATCCCTCATGACTGAGGGCCCTCGTCTGTGTGGTAATGATTGGGTTTTTCAACAGGACAATGCTGCAGTTCACTATGCCCGCCTGACAAAGGAGTTCTTCCAAGAGAATAACATCACTCTTTTGGACCATCCTGCATGTTCCCCGGATCTAAACCCAATTGAGAACATTTGGGGATGGATGGCAAGGGAAGTTTACAAAAATGGACATCAGTTCCAGACGGTGGATGCCCTTCGTGAAGCCATCTTCAACACCAGGAGCAACGTTCCCACTAGCCTCCTGGAAACACTGGCATCAACGATTACGCATAAACGATTGTTTGAAGTCATCAACAAGAATGGTGGAGCTACTCATTACTGAGTCCTTTTTTTGACACTTTGATTTCTGTTTAGGGGGTTTTTTCGGGTTTTTTTGATTTATGGTCTTTAACTTTTGATCAGCTGAAAAAAATCCTATTTTAGTGTAAATACAGTTTTCAATTAATTCCCCCCTCAAAAGTTCTTGTCTCTTGTGCTGATTTCTTCTTTTAACATTGTGAAGCTCTACTTAGAACCTTTTTTAGATCCAATGGTGCAAATTACTAATTCTTGCAATTTTTTGACTGGTCTTAAGATTTTGATCAGGAGTGTATGTCAGCCTTTTAAAAGCTGATCTTCTGAGAACACAGTCTCCTCCACCTGTCCTAGACGACAAGGATAAAGTCCTACCAGTGGTTCATCGGCATCATCAGAAACATTCAATAAAAAACTGTGCTGCAAAGATACTGATGGCATAAAATTTATTCAGGCCTTCATACTGAGGAGGAACTAAAACATGAGGCTGAAATAAACTCTGATTTTTAGGTTTTAAAGCTTTAGAAATGAGAGACAAGTTATTAAGAAATAGATTTGGTCAGAGAAAATCCAAATGAAATAGAAGAGTACGTCTTCAGTGTTATAGAGAAGCATTTCCCAACAAAGAAAAGATGTATCTACCGGTAGTATGGAAAACACATACAATATGAAGTAAAAATGGAAATAAGAATTAAATGTTATAATTTAAGGTTCTGCATGGGTGGACATATGAACCGGCTGTCATTGGGGAATTAACAGCCGACTATGGAAAGAATTTGACTGGAAAGTGAAGATCAGATACTTTAATGCTCCCTGTATCATCTCCTCATTGGTGAAAAATCCCAGTGTAGGTGGAATTATTGGAGACGCCTCACACATTTTTTGGGATTGTCCACTAATACCAGGATTTTGGGACAATATTAAAAACGAAATAGAGGGAATATTGAATGTAAATGCAGGGTGACCAGACGTCCCCAATTTTTAGGGACAGTCCCTGGTTTGGACCACCTGTCCCTGGAAATGTCCCCAATTTTAACCTTTTATTAACGAGCGGGGAAATGTTGCGTGTAGACTGTTATTACGGTAGAAAAGCACCGGTTGAGGACAGAAACAGCTGTTATGGTAGCATTTTTGTCTCGCTGTTGTTAACATAAGAATGATTAAAATAGTGCAGTGATTGTTGGACTGTGTGGAGATAGGAAGCTGAGGCATTTCTTGCAAGAAAAAGGGTTCAAATGTATTTAACGTCCTCAGACGGAGAGATAGAGCTCTGACTGAGGCAACCTTAGTATATACATTTATACCTTAAAAAATCCCAACACACACACTGCCCCCCAGGGGACCCAACCCATCCTCTGCATAAAGAACTTTCTCACACTTCAACATTTGGAGGAAAAACCACCTGAGTTCATCAAGGCTGTTCCCTGTTAGGTTAATATATCTTTCACTGGCCAGATGGATCCACTTCATGCCATAAAAGAAGCTGTGTGACTCATTCTTATCTCTCATGATCTTCGTTTGGAGCCTGTGAGGCTAAGAACAAACATATCTTTTTACTCCACAACTGTGATGATCCTCATGGAGCTGAGCTGCCATTAAAACACGAAGAAGAAAAAGAGCGCATCACTTTTTAAACAGCCGAGGAAGTAAAGTGGAAGTTTATCACATTGCGACACACCTGATAGGGAGCTGCCCTGTGCCATGGTGAGGGTGTTAATCCATTAATTTTATTTGGACTGAGCTGATCCTGTGATGAATGTTTGCTTCATGTCCAGTTTAAAAAATAATCAATAAAAAGAAGTAAAACGAGACCAGAGTTTACTGCTGGAATGAGTAAAAGAGACTCGGATTAAAGGAGCTAATCTGCTTCAGTGGTTCTTCAGGGATTAATATCGGTTCATTTAAAGATGTCTTAGAACTGATTGGTGACCTTTAGTTGATATTTAAGAAAGTTAGTCATCATAAGTTGTTTTTCTGCTTTATGGTAGTGATTTATGAGCATAGACTTCCAGGCTTTTCTACTACTTAGTTTGGATATAAGAACATTTCTCATGAAAAATGGTAGCAGTCAGTAAGAGAAAAACTCAGACACTATCTGCATCTGAATGATGGAGGAAGAGACAACAACCTACGGTATCTAATGTTCATTTATTAGGTTGTTTTTGCTTCTAGCTCCAAATATTATCCAAAATACAAATTGATTAGCATTTTGTTTTTATTTAGATGAGTTAGCAATAATATGTTTTCCTGTTATACATTCTATTGCAGGGGTCTTTAATGGTTTACAGGCCAAGGACCCCAAACTGATGGTGAGATGGAGCGGGGACCCCCTAATTATATATATATTGTATGAAATAGTGTTCGATCAAACTGGTCCTATAGTCACTCTATTACAGATGGAGTAATGTAACTAAAGTAATTCCTCCCTGGGATTATTAAAGTATTTCTGATTCCTGGTTGATGGGACAGGTGTTGTGAATGAAACGGTGCCCAGCTTGAAAGAGCTCCTGTGTGTCTCTGAATGTGTGCATTGATGACTGAAAGACATCTTCTGCCTCCATTTATCTGTTTACTACAGTCTGTTGAATTCATGTTAATGTGGATTTAAAGACATTTCAATTAGTGGAAATAATTGCAGGAAGGAATATGAAAAAAAGTCTAATCAACCAAACCTTTCGCGACCCCCATGCAGTACCTCTGTAGCCCCCTAGGGGTCGCGGACCCCTGTTGAAAACCTCCGACCTAATGTTTTTGGAAATAATTTTTATTAATGTCTCTGTTTTAGAATACTTTAGACTGAATGAAAGGAAAACTGGAACACTGATGGGAAGAACAGCTGAAAAAGAAGGAAGAAACATCTATAGAGAAGAGTAAAAAGGAGAGCAGACAGAAGTCAGAAGAGAGCTAGAAAGAAAATAATGTAGAGACGGAAGACGACAGAGAAGACTGAACGGACCACACTGCAAAAAATCTAAATCTAGATGAGTCATTCTTTCCTAAAATAAGTGCATTTGTTTGGTAAAAGAGACATTTTGCCAATGGAACAAGACAATTTACACTTAAAATAAGAAAACACAACAGCATTGTCTTATTTCAAGTGTATATTACCGGATTATCTTATTTTAAGAGTAAAAATACTCATACCATTGGCAAACTATCACTACTACCTACTCAGAATAAGAGTAAATACACTTAATTTAAAATATTTTTTCTTATTTCCAGATCGCTTTTCCAGTGCAGATGTTTGTTTTTACTTTTTTGGTTTTTCTTTTCCTCATGTCACTCTCCCCTTAAAGGGAGGCGGAGCTCTTTAGGCCCCAAAAATCAGAAAGGCCTGCTAACGACCTTTGACCCCTTCACTCTCACTTCCAACCCAGACACAGTTCCAGTTTTCTATAAAAAAAAACTATTGATTTATTCGTGCTATAAAAGAAAATACTACCAGTGGATTTTACACTTGATTTTTGTTGTTTAAATATTATTACACTTAATACCTGAACCTGTGGTGTTTTTATTGGAAGCCAAACCTAAAAACAGATATAATGCAGATCAGAGATGTTCACTCAGGATTATTTTACTGGTAGCAAAGAAAATGATTCCTATGCAGTGGAGAGACGGAAAACCAACAACTATAAGTCAATGGGTTCTGACACAGAAACATGTTTACATGATGGAGTGAATGACTGCAAGCCTGCAGCTAACTATGGGAACCTTCAGAGTATCTGGGTGTCTGATGGAGAGGATGATGGGATGAGATGCTCCTGAAAGGAGAGGTCTGTTAGATTTCCTGCTTGGTCACAGATTACAGATGGTGGATATAATATGCTGTGCTTGATGTCCTCATTGGGAGGATTTTTGGTACTTTGTGTTTGTCGTGACGTTTACTAATTTAGTTTTTGTCAGGAGACGTAATGTAAAATGACTAAAATGGTTAAATAAAAAGTTCTGGAATAAAAAAGGAATGAGGTGAGAGAAAGTCCTCTACCTGTCTGAGGGTCGCAGTAATCCACAGTGTAGCCCTCCAGCTGCATCAGCTCCTGAGGCTCCGCCTTCCTCTCCCTGTAGCTGCACATCGCAAACGTGTACTGACTGACCTGAAGGCAGCAGAAACACAGGAAGACAACATGGATCCACCGCTGCTGCATTCATTCATTCATTCATTCATCCACCGATGAACAAACAGATGGAGACAGGATGATCATGGTCCCTGTCCACATCACCCTGAACAGACCTCTCTTGCGCTGAAACATGGAGGTGGCAGCGTCATGCTGTGGGATGCTAAGTAGAGGACAATGTGAGGATGAATGGATGAATGCAGGACATTCCTAAAGGAAAAGCTGCAGAGGTCTGGGTGGAGGAACGGATGCGAACAGGATCCTCGGTCCAAAGACTTCCTGCTTTCAGCCTCTAAATACTTTCATCCGAACAAACATGGCCGCCACGTTTCACTAAAGGCAACGTTCCCTTGAACTACAGCTCGGCTGACTGAGCCGTTAGCGCTCAGACAGATGAAGAAGATGAGGCATAGATTAATTAACTGGATCCTTTGTTTTGACGAGGAGATAAAAACCTTTCATCCTTTTCCTTTCTTCCCTTTCAACAGACACTTCTCAGAAATGAAGCAACAAAGATGTTCTGACAGTCAGAGGAGGATATTTGCTCCTCTGAGGGAATGTGAGTCTTTGCCTTTAAGGCGGAGCAGAGTTCCTGCTGATCTCACCTGAACCAGGACAAAATATCTTTTCTTCCAGCGTTTCCAGACTTTCTGCCCAGCAGCATACAGGTACCTGAAACCCAAAAGGCCAGAAAACAGCATTAAACATCCAGCAGGTGACAAAAGGCCAGGGAAGGAATCTGAATTCATCTGAACTAAATTCTGAAATTTTTAATTAATTCAGTACAATTAAGTCTCTTTCTACAGAGGAAATATCAGTTAAATGAGCAGTTTGGTGTATTAATCTAAAGAGAAGCAGCTCTCTGATTCGTTCCTCCTGCATGGGGGTGTAGAGATGGCAGTCTTCAGACAGCAAGCAAGCATGCAGCGACAGTGGAGAGGAAAACTCCCTTTAAACAGGAAGAAACCTCCAGCAGAACCAGAACCAGGCTCAGTGTGAGCGGCCATCTGCTGAGGGTTCAAGGAGACTAAAGCGTTACACTTGCTTGATGAGAAAAACATCCAATTTTTGAAAGTGTATTATAATGAAAAGGGGACGTTCAGTAAAAATAATAATAATAATGTTTTTGTTGGTTTTTACTTGATCAGTTCCTCCAGTCTGGGTTCTACATCACCTCTAAAACAGCCTTTAGATGAAACATAGAAGTGAAGCTTGATGAGCAGATCTAATGATCGGGGTTAAACTCGGAGCTAATCACCAGTGAAGGCCTGCAGCTGCAGACTAAACAGTAAAGATGTTTGCTGCGTCACTCAGAAAGAACCTGCAGGCGTCTCCTTCAACGCCATGTTTGGATCCATTTGATGGATCTGAAGTACAGACGCTGCCGAGGCAAACTCTGAGCCTAATGCATGCAAAAATAAGAATCCAGAACTTTAAATTCATGTGATTCTGCTGCAAACGTGGAGGATTCTTCTGTTCATCCTCCTCCTTCCAGGTTAGAAAATAACGACGAACATTAAAAAGCTGCTTGATCTGCAATTCCGGTAAAAAAAAAAATGGTTTAGTTTTATGAGAACTAGAACTATGAGCTTCTTAAGGTCTTATTTTCAAATATTTTTATCTACAAGCTGATGAAATCCTGATCGGCCTTTTTTGGTTTATCTGGTTTTACCAGTTTAGCTTAGCCTGCAGCCTCCATTCATTCCTGCTCATAAAGTTATAAAGTTATTGCCAGGTGGGTTAGCGATGTAACGGGGGGTGGGGTGGGGTGGCAGGGACGGTTCTAGACCAAATGTACCAGGGGGCCAGGAGGGGGGCCAGCATGTTTTCATGTGGGAACAGAAAGCATGAAATAAAAAAACAGGGCGAAGGATTCGAAGATACTGAGAGAGCTGCATGAAGTCAGATTTCTATTCAATGAGGTGTAATTAAAATTCTATGTCTTATTAGGTCAATATACATTCATAATTTAGGAATCTTACATATTTTTCACTTAATTTAAGTCAAAATTCCCATTTTCTATAAAATCTAAATCAGAACAAAAAAAAACCCCTGATAAATTCAGCTGTAAAAAATGTGATTTTTTTTTTTTTTTTTGAAAAAAACATTTGACAGATGAAAACTGGGATCCTATCTCAATCCCACTGAAGCTATCACCTTGTTGCTTTTATAAAATTAGTAAAACACATTTTGTAAAGAGAAAAAATGAAATAGATCCAAAGGAGCTATCAGTAACCATGTCTGTTCCAGCGCAGATCATCAGTAGAATTTCTTTGAGTATTTTGTCTTCATTACAGGGGCCATAAGAGGGGCCAGGGCATGATCTGGCCCCCGTTTGCTTCGGTTTAGAGCCGCCCATGGTGTGGTTTGGGTGGGGGGGGCTTTGGCACGCTGCAGGCCGGGAAACGGCCCCTGATCTTTGGACTGGAAGATGAACAGCATCTTCCAGCTTCCTTCAAACAAGCAGAACGTTCCCAAAAAAAGAAATAAACAAAGCAACCTTCTTTGGCATTTAATCATATTTAGATCCTTTAACACAATTGTTTGATGTTAGTAAAAAGGACATAAAACAATTGTGTTAAAGTAACTAAATATGATAAAGAAAATGGTTGCATTATTTTTTCAGTTTAAACTGGAACCTTTTCAGAGCAAATTGCATAAAAATCTCTGCATGTTTCAGATGCAGCTGCTGAGTTCGACAGGAAAACTTCTCCATGTTAAAATGAACCCCCCCAGACACACACACACACACACAGGCGTGGGATGCAGGCAAATGCAAGAGAGTAAAATGGATCGATGGAAGGAGCCTTGCAGGCTGGATGCAGGAGGATAAGATGCTGCAGCTCAGCGGAGCGACCGGCGGCTGCAGGCTGGGAGCTCAGTGCAGAAAATGCTCCTTCTGCAGGAGGCTTGGATCAAAATGCACCACAAAATACAGACTGTGTTTGATCCATATGAACAACTTAATTTATTTTTTGTACTCTATAATTATAATAATTAGAAAATTATCTGAATGCAATAAAACTAAAAACCTAAATAAACCAAAATGATGCAGCAAAAATCAGGAAACCAAACTATTTTTATTCTTTGGTCTTGTAGGAAAGTTCACACAATTATCAGGAGATTTAAAAGTAATTCTCAATAAGTTCAGTTCTTAATAAAACATAATTTAAACATAATTTAAAAAGGTGAATATGAAATAACAGCAATATTTAAAAACTACATTTAATTACAAATGTAGTTATTTATTCTTCAGCTTTTGAAAGAAAAAGTATTTAAACGGATTTAAATATTTTATACCCAATATTCATCTAAGCCAATCATAAAAACAAAAAACTAATTTCATGTTGTCCTAATTTATTACTAAAACATTTTGAAAAATTTAAAATAGAATCTGGAAAAAAAATTAAATTAAAATCATTATTTATGCTGATTTAAACAAATCCAAGTGATTTTTTTTCGTTTATTAAAATCCCTAAAGCTGCGATTTTTTTTCCTGTAATGATTTAATTGATCTCTTTATGCTCTGAATTCATTTTTATTTATAGCAAATTTATATATAAAAAAAACACAATTATTAATACTGATATCTGCAAGACGAAGAATTTCTTGAACTTATTCTGATTTGAAATATTTGATCTACAAACTGAGACATTTTGAATAAACTCCGAGAGGATGACAGGGAGTCTCCTACTGCCCCCTGCTGGAGGCTCCTGGAACTCAAACCTGACCTTCCCTCCATTCAGCCCCTTTTCATCCTCGGCTGCTGATTCTAATCAGCTGCATCTATCCATCGCTTCATGTCTCATTTCCTCAGCTGCTCCAGATGTTCTGTAGCCAAGAGGAGCAGAACTTCATCATAAAATCCTCCATCAACATGAAAGCAGGAGATTCTGCTCTCAGTCAGAGAAACTGGAAATAGATCTTTGGAGGTTCAAAGGTTACAACAGAGAAACTGAGAGGAAATTAGGAGTTACTAAGTTCTCATTTTATTTCATTGTATATTTTCTTTTATTCAAAGACATAAACGTCAGCAAATTCAGTGAAATCTAATAATTAGAAAAGCAAATATAAAGTATGGACGTGGAAATGTAGAAAAAAAACAGAAAGTTTTCCTTAGAAGTCATCAGCAGCTAAAGGGCAGTTATAGAAAATAAATGTTAGCGAGCTAACATTGCTAAGAGCTGGTATGGTAACTGAACGGTTCCTTCATCAGAACATTCCAGATTAATTTACAGCTTTCCTGCCCCTCCTGTCAGGAACAGCATTGCTGATGCTTCCCATCCAGAAGAAGAGCCTTTATTCACTAACTCCAGCTCTGCAGCAGCTCTCTCAACTTAAAGGAAAATTCCGG